ATGGCAGCAGGAACCGCTCGTTACGGTGGCGGCCGGCAGGTCTCTGTCTCGGGAAGGGCGGGGGATCTGCTCGCCCGCCTCGGGTTTACGCGGTAACCGGATTAAGGCGCAATTTAGCGGGGGCGGCCGCCGCAGCGGCGCGAGCAGGCGGCCGCATTATGTTGGCGTTATTTGATTCCCTAAGTTTAATCAATGCCCCGGCCGGCGCCGCACACATTCGGTGCTAATAGTGTTAATGCTCGCAGATCGCCCCCCCCCCCCGCGCCACACGATAGAAGGCGGGAGCACGCGCGCCTTAACGCTTTGGACCTCGAGGGGATTGGGCTGGACGGCCTCGATTCCAGAATTGGATAATAAAACATAGTGCATAAGAAGACTAAAGCACATTTATCCACCGATAACCAATCTAGCACACACACACGCACCAATGCATGCTCGTTTTTATGAATGCCACTGAAGACAGGTCAAACAGCACGTTTTGAACATTTACTTGTACCATCTTAAATGTCTGAGAGGAAAGATTTTCTTCATTTTTAAAGGCGACATATTTACAGTTAAACACCGTTAATACCTAACCAAGGTATGCAATTGAAAAATTGAAATCTCTCCAGTTCAATCTTGGACATTGATTAGGTTTTCTCTTAAACCAATTATATAAGATCTGCCTTTATTAAGGGTGAGTCCTCTAATGCCTGTGTCTGAGAAAACAACTATTGCAAAATTTTTATCCAACACACACATTGGAAAGTCAACAAAAAATGCACGAAATATCCGATAGTCAAGAGCAAGAATCATACATTTTTACTGGTCACCGATACGTAACCAATTACATACATTTCGAAATTTCATTGCTGTAAATGGAATTGAATATCCATTGAAATGAAATTCTAGGAACCTTCAACATTATTACATATCAAACGTCCATTTATTTATTTTTGCAAGAACTTTACTACAACGCAGAGCTTCCTAGAAGCATCACTGCAAGCAGCCTGGCGCGGGGGGGCGCACTTTAATTACATCGCCGCTTCGTTAGCGCGCGCCAGCCTTCAGGTCGCCGGAGGACGCGCGGAAGCCCGGGCGGACAATCAGGCGCTTCGGGGCGGGGGCTGGGGCCGGCAATCACCGTGCGGCGCCCGAGATCCGATCAGCCCCCCC